GGGCTGGAGGGCTGGAGGGCTGGAGGGCTGGAGGGCTGGAGGGCTGGCTCAGAGGTCGGTAGCTCTTCCTGCTCTTCCAGAGGGAGAGAGGGAGGGAGGGAGAGAGGGAGGGAAGGAGGGAGGGAGGGAGGGAGGAAGGAAGGAAGGAAGGAAGGAAGGAAGGAAGGAAGGAAGGAAATGTCCTATGTCTGTACTGCATGGAGGCATTTTCTCAGCTGAGGCTCCTTCCTCTCTGATGATTTTAGCTTCTGTCAAGTTGACATAAAACTAGCCAGTACATAGATGGAATTGAAGATCATGAAAAACAAAACCAGCGGGACTCAGATGAAAATTTTATGTGTTTTCTTTTATTCAAAGAACCTATTTTTAAGCATCCATATGTATATGTCTTAGTTAGGGTTTCTAATGCTGCAACAAAACACCATGAGCAAAAAGCAAGGAGGGGAGGAAAGGGTTTATTAGGCTTACACTTCAGCATTGCTGTTCATCCCTGAAGGAAGTCAGGACAGGGACTCAGACAGGGAAGGATCCCAGTGGTAGAGACCATGGAGGGGGGCTGCTTACTGGCTTGTTTCCCATGACTTACTCAGCCTGCTTTCTTATAGAAGCCAGGACCAGCAGCAGGGATGGCTCCACCTGGGCCTTCCCGCATTGATCACTAAATGAGAAAATGCCTTACGACTGGATTTCAAGGAGGCATTTCCACAACGTGGTTCCTTCCTCTGATGATTCTAGCTTGTGTAAAACTGACACACAAAACCAGCCAGAACACATATGTTGTTAGAAGTACAGCGTACATACACGTATGTCATGGAAGTACAGTGTATACACACGTATGTCATGGAAGTATTTAGGGCTATTTAAGGCGGGGAAGGGGATCAGGATGAGGTAAGAAAGGGTAATGGGGTGAATGTGAGTAAGGTCTCTGACATTCATGTATGAAAATGTCATAAGAAACCCAGCATTTTGAATGTCAATTAAAAATAAATTAGTGCCCATCAAAATTCCAGCAAAATTCTTCAAAGACCTCAAAAGAATGGTACTCAACTTCATTTGGAAAAGCAAAGAAACCCAGGATAGCAAAAATAATCCTGGGCAATAAAAGAACTCCTGGAGGCATCACAATCCCTGACATCAAACTCTACTACAGAGCTACAGTACTGAAAACAGCCTGGTACTGGCATAAGAACAGACAGGAGGACCAATGGGATCGAATCAAAGACCCGGAGATCAATCCACACATCTTCAAATACCTGATATTTGATAAAGAAGCAAAAATATCAAATGGAAAAAAGAAAGCATATTTAACAAGTGGTGCTGGCATAACTGGATATCAACATGTAGAAAAATGAAAATAGACCCATATCTACCACCATGCACAAAACTCAAGTCCAAATGGATCAAAGACCTCAATATAAAGCCAGCCACACTGAACCTCAGAGAAGAGAAAGCGGGAAGTGCATTTGAACACATTGGCACAGGGAACCACTTCCAAAATAGAACCTCAGCAGCACAGACACTGAAAGAAACAATTAATTGATGGAGGAGGGTTATCTGTCTATTGTGTTATTTTCATTGGTCAATAAAGAGACTGCCTTGGCCCCTTGATAGGACAGAAAATTAGGTAGGCGGAGAAAACAAAACAAATGCTGGGAAGAGGGCTATGAGGCAGACGCCATGGAGCCAGCCACCAGGTCAGACATGCTGAATCTTTTCCCGTAAGCCACCACCTCGAGGTGCTACACAGATTATTAAAAATGGGTTAATATCAAGATATGAGAGTTAGTCAGTAACTAACTCTCTAGAGATAATGGGCCAGGCAGTGTTTAAATGAATACAATTTGTGTGTTATTATTTCTGGGACTAAGCTAGCCGTGCGGGAGCCGGGTGAGGCAAAAAGCAGGCCTGCCCGCAGCCCCTCACTACAATTAATAAATGGGACCTCCTGAAACTTAAAAGCTTCTGTAAGCAAAGGACATGGTCAACAAGACAAAACAACAACCTCCAGAATGGGAAAAGATCTTCACTAACCCCACATCAGACAGAAGTCTGATCTCCAAAATATACAAAGAACTCAAGAAATTGAACACCAAAAGATCACATAATCCAATAAAAAAAAATGGAGTACAGACCTAAACAGAGAACTCTCAACAGAGGTATCTAAAATGGCTGAAAGACACTCAAGGAAATGTTCAACATCCTTAGTCATCAGAGAAATGCAAATCAAAACAACTCTGAGATTCCATCTTACACCTGTAAGACTGGCCAAGATCAAAAACACTGATGACAACTTATGCTGGAGAGGTTGTGGGGAAAAGGGAACACTCCTGCATTGCTGGTGGGAATGTAAGCTGGTACAACCCCTTTGGATGTCAGTGTGGCAACTTCTCAGAAAATTAGGAAACAACCTTCCTCAAGACCCAGCAATACCACTTTTGGGTATATATCCAAAGGATGATCAATCATGCCACAAAGACATGTGCTCAACTATGTTCATAGTAGCTTTGTTTGTCATAGTCAGAACCTGAAAACAACATAAATACCCCTCGACAAAAGAATGGATAAGAAAAATGTGGTACATTTACACAATGGAGTACTACACAGCAGAAAAACATAACGACAGCTTGAATTTTGAGGAAAATGGATGGAACTAGAAAACATTGTTTTGAGTGAGGTAACCCAGACACAGAAAGACAATTATCACAGGTACTCACTCATAGGTGGTTTTGAAACATAAAGCAAAGAAAGCCAGCCTACAAACCACAATCCCAGAGAACTTAGACAACAATGAGGACACTAAGAGAGACTTACATAGATCTAATCTACATGGGAAGTAGAAAAAGACAAGATCTCCTGAGTAAATTGGGAGCACTGGGACATTGTGGGAGGGTTGAAATGGGGAGGGAAGCAGAGAAAAACGTAGAGCTCAATAAATATCAATAAAAATATATATTAAAAATTAATTAAAAATAAAATAAAATTAGGTGGGACTGGAGAGATGGCTCAGTGATTAAGAGCTCATGGCACTCTTGCAGAGGACCTGAGTTCAGTTCCCAGCATCCACCTCACATGGCTCTGTCTTCACCTCCAGCTCCAGGGCATCAGTTGCCTCCTGCTGGCCTCTGTGGGTACTCACACAAATAGGTGCATACATATATGCAGACACACATACAGGAAAATAAAGTAAGTAGTAAATGCTAAAAAAAATAAATAAGTAAAATTAGGGTTGTCATAGTCCACTGTGGGTGGAGTCATTCCTGGGCTGATAGTCCTGGGTTTTCTAAGAAAGCGGGCTGAGAGGGCTGGAGAGATGGTTCAGTGGTTAAGAGCACTGGTTACTCTTGTACTCTTGCAAAGGACCCAGGTTCAATTCCCAGAATCCACATGGCAGCTCACAACTGTCTGTAACTCCAGTTTCTAGGGACCCAACACCCTCACACAGACATACATGTAGGCAAAACAATTTACAGAAAAAAAAGTATTTTTTTCCCTGAGATATGTTGCTCTGTGTAACAGTCCTGGTTGTCCTGGAACTCACTTTGTAGACCAGGGTGGCCTTGAACTCACAGAGAACCACCTGCCTCTGCTTCCGGAGTGCTGGAATTAAAGGCGTGTATTACCAACTCCAGCTAATAATCTTTTTTTTTTTTTAAAGAAAGAAAGCAGTCTGAGCGAGTCACAATGAGCAAGGCAGTAAGCAGCACTCTCCGTGACCTCTGCATCAGCCCCTGCCTCCAGGTTCCTGCCCTTTCTTCCTTTGATGACAAATATGGAAGTGTAAGCTAAATACACTTTCCTCCCCAACTTGATTTTGGCTACAGTGTTTTAACACAGCAATAGAAACCCTAACTAAGACGCTAGGCAAACACTTTACCAACCAAACCACATCCTCAGTCCTAACTCCTAAGTAATTTCAAGGCCAGTGGAAGACACTTACATATTCAGGAAGCCATGGGAATTGCCAGGCTGCCATATTTGCCTGGGAAATTGTGTCTCAGAACAGGAGTGATCTAATGAAAACAGTTGCATGTCTCCTAGGCAACTGGCAGTATGCTTTTATGCTGTGGGCGGTGTAGCCTCTAGACTTGTGTTTCCCCTTTTGGGCTCTTGAAGGTTTGGACATGGTTTTCTGGTCTTCCCCTGTGGCTCACCTTATCTACTCGGCTGTGATTTTTCCATTGCTCCGGTGTCCTCGCTCAGCCAAGAGCCATTGTGGTCACAGCCTGGGGGAAACCTGCTCAGAAAGCCAGCCTGTGAACTGACCTGCCTTTTCCTCTGCTGTGCTTTGAAAGTAAGATAGTCTCCCCCGCCCCCACACTCTCCCCACCCCGGCGCGAGTGTTTGAACATAGAGTATCTGGCTGGTGGTAGTTTGGCGATATGTGGGAAGCCTTTGGGAGGGAGGGAAGGCCTAACTGGGGGAAGAAGGTTAATGGAGAGTGGAGCCTTCCAGATCACAGTGGGGATCCATTTCCTCTCCTGTCTTTGCTTTGTGATATTCCAAGACATGGATAAGAACCCACTGTTCTTCCAGAAGACCCAAGTTCAGCTCCTGGAACCCATCTCAGTAGGCTTACAACTTTCCGTAACTCCAGCTCCAGAGGACCCGACTCTTTCTTCTGGCCATAACAGGCAACTACACTCATATGCACACCCACAAAGATGTACACATACACATAATTTAAAATAATAAAAATAAAAGTCGCCAGGCGTGGTGGGGCATACCTTTAATCCCAGTACTTGGGAGGCAGAGGAGGTGGATAGATCTCTGGGAGTTTGATGCCAACTTGGTCTATGTAGTAAGTTCCAGGCTAGCCAGGGCTATATAGTGAGCCCCTGTCTCAAAACAACCAAGATGAGTCTTTAAAGTTCTTATTTCCAAACATAGGTACACTGAGGGGTTATTGCTTCAACATACGGATTTGGGGGATGGGAACACACCAGTCTATGATCCAAGGGACATAAGGCAGGAAGCCTGGACAAGTGAGCAGTCTGTTCCATCCCTGTGACCATGACAACAGAAGAATTTTAGAAGGGTATCCATGGCAGCAGAAGTTCAAATGGCTGACCAGACCTTGGGAAACATCCCAGATGGAGGGCTCTGGGACATCCATACAAAAGCCAGATCCCAGCCAGCAACCTGGAGGGTATGGAGCGGGGAATTTAACCGCAGGGGACGGGCAACTGGGAATGGAATAGGGCCCAGGGGGCTGACATGATGGGTATGCTCAGGCTTGGGATTGGATCTCCTGGACCAAAACTAAGAATAATGAAAGAGAAGTGGACAGCCTCAAAGCCCTGGTCATAGCATTGTGCTATGTACAGGGCAGAGAAGACAGATTCCTGCAGAAACCCTTTGACGGACTCGCCCACAACTTGGAGGGATTCTGACTCGTAAAAGTAACACAGTGATCACTAACCATAGGACAGCCACAGACAGAACCTATACATTAATCAGATTTTTATAGGTTTTATTTTTCATGTGCATTGCTTTGTTTTGACTGTGTATATATATCTGTTTGAGGGTGTCGGATCCCTGGAACTGGAGTTACAGACGGTTGTGAGCTGCCATGTGGTTGCTGGGAATTGAACCTGGGTCTTCTGCAAGAGCAGCCGGTGATTTTAACCACCGAGCCATCTCTCCAGCCCCTGGAAGATTATTTTTTAAAGAGCAGACTGGGCTCAGACTCTGAGATCTGCCTACCTCTGCCTCCAGAGTGCTGGGATTAAAGGGGTTTGCCTAGCTGAATTTTTAGAAGGATTTAAGAATATGGTTATGGGGGCTGGAGAGATGGCTCAGCAGTTAAGAGCACTGCCTGCTCTTCCAAAGGTCCCGAGTTCAATTCCCAGCAACCACATGGTGGTTCACAACCATCTGTAATGAGATCTGGTGCCCTCCTCTGGCCTGCAGGCATACAGACAGACAGAATACTGAGAATGTTGTATATATAATAAATAAATAAATCTTTAAAAAAAAGAATATGGTTACATGTATAGCTACCCTGAGCTGGGATGGATTAGGTAATGAACTCACTGTTATTGGAAGTCATCAAAATAACCCAGATGACTAGAAGGGAGGTGGTTTGAAAAGGGTTGAATCTGGGCGTGGAAAGATGGCTCACTGATTAATAGCAAGAACTGTTCTTGCAGAAGACCCAAGTTCAGTTCCCAGTACTCACTTTGGGTGGCTCAGGACTTCAGGAGACCCAGACTTTCTTCTAGTCTCCACAGGCACCTGTGCTCCCAAGCTCATACCACCTCTCCACAAATATGTACATAATTACAAATTTAAAATAAACCCTTTATTTATTTAAAGAGTTAAATGATATATAATATCCTTTTCCAAAATATATTTGGACGTCCTCCTCAGGACGCTAAGGCAGGAGGATCACAAATTTGGGCTACATAGATAGACTTTATCTTAAAAAAATAAAATACAATAAAGTAAAAGCTGGGTGATAATGGCTTACACCTTTATTCCCAGCACTTGGGAGTCAGAAGCAGGGGAATCTCTGTGAGTTTGTGGCTAGCATGGTCTACAAAGTGGGTTCTAGAACAACTAGGGAGTTTACACACAGAAACTCTGTCTCAAAAAACCAAACAACAACAATAAAAAATAAATAAATAAATGAAACGGAAAACTAAGGTGAGGGGTTAGAAAGATGGGTCAACAGTTAAGAACATTTATTCTCTCAGGGGATCCGAATTCATGTTTCAGGAGCCATGTCGGTGGCTTAAAACCATCTGTAATTCTAAGTCCTGGGAATCCAGTGCCTCTTCTGGCCTCCTTTTCTCTCTGTTTTCAACTAGAAAATTCTCTGGAATGTTCTTCAGGTACTACACAACCTCATAGAAGACAAGACAAGAGGAACTCAGGAGGCGTCTATGAAGAGCCCAGGTCAATGGACCATGAAGACCTTCCCTTTGAGTTCCATTGTTCTCCTGGCCTTCTTCCTCAGTGTCCACCTTGGAGCTGCCACTGGTACGTAGCTGGTACCCCTCCCCCCTTTTCCCCTGGAAGCTCCTCCTGCAAAGGACAGCCTCAAGGTCATTTCTCCTTGTGTTGTTTAGATGGCAGTGAAGCAACCCTCCACTCAATTCAGCAACCCTGCTGCCTCAATTTCAACCACAAGATGCTCCCGTGGAACTGGGTGTACTCTTACGAGCTCGCCAAAGACAGCTGTCTCCAAAAGGTCGTGATGTGAGTGTTAGGTGCTGCTGCATCAGCCGCATCATCGGGCAGGGACTGGGTGGATGTCCACAGTGACAGACTGGACACCAGGATGGGGATCTGGGACACAAGTATCTCAGTTTTGTTTCTTGTGTCTGGGATAAAATACTTGGATGAAAGCAACTTAAGGGAGAAATTCCAGGTAACAGTCTGTTCTAGCTGGCTTTATGTGGCTATGTTAAATACCATGGCCAAAAGTAAATACCATGACCAAAAGTAACTTGCTGCTGGACGGTGATGGTGCACGCCTTTGGCAGAGGCAGGAGGATCTCTATGAGTTCAAGGCCAGCCTGGTCTACAAGGGCTAGTTCCAGGACAGGCTCCAAAGCTACTGAGAAATACTGTCTCCAAAAAAAAAAAAGCAAGTTGGGGAGGAGAGGGTTTATTTCAAATCACACCCCATCATGGAGGGAAGTCAGATCTTGAGGTAGAATATGAAAGAACACTGTTTGATGAGTTTGCTCTGCGGTCATGGTCTCTGCTAGCTTTCTAATAGTCCAGGCCCACCTGCTAACGAAGCTGCTGTCTAGGGAATGACACCACCGATAGTTGGCTGGGTTCTCCCACATCAATCATTGATGAAGACAGTTGTTTACAGATGTGGCCATCGATCAATCTTATTGAGATAATTCTTTAGTTGAGGTTTTTCAGATGACCCCAGGCTAGGACGACATTGACAGCTGAGGCTAAGAAGCAGTCCGTCATTGCTGGAAAGACAAGGTAGCAAAATCTTGAAGTAGCTAGTCAACTAGTCATAATTATTTTCACAGTCAAGAGCAGAGAACAGTGAATTGATGCATGCACGACAAAGCTCAGCTTGGTTTCTCCTCTCTTATACAGTTCAGAGTCCTCTGTCTGAAGAATGGTGCCTCCCACAGTGGGCAAGTCTTCCCACCTCAATGAATATATGCAAGATAGCCCCCCAGACATGTCCGCAGGCCAACTTAATCTAGATAATCTTTCATTGAGACTCCTTTCTAGATGAGTTTAGATTTTAAGTTTAAAATAAAAACTAACCACCAAGATAGGTTAGAGCCCTCTCTCTGCAGAAACACATGTGTCTCTGAGAGAGTTAGATCCTGACTTCCAGACCATAGAGCAGGCCGTGCTTTGAGAGCTGGGTATAAAAGCACAAGAAGAACATGGTGGTGTAATTTTTAATCCCATCGCTCAGGAGACTGGGGTGGAAGGATCGTGAATTTGAGGCCTTTTAGTAAGGCTACATAGTAAGACCTTGTCTTTAAAAAAAAAAAAAAAGAATTATGAATTGGTGGCAACCAAACCTAATCATTTGAGTTTGCTCTCCTAGCTCTCTGTGATGGAGAGAGAAAGTCAAATCCCTGCAAACTGTCCTCTGACTTCCATATATGCACTGTAGTAAATGTGTTCTTCCCCTCCACAACAAATAAATAACACTTAATTTAAAAGTACATATAAAAAAGGAATGAAGTGGCGTGCTCATATGGGGTTCCTTTCTGCCCTCTAAAATTCATCATGCTGAGCTGTAGTGTAACTCAGTGGTCAAGCATTTATTTAATGTTATAAAGCTCTGGATTATACTTCAACACACACACACACACACACACGAAAGATTAAAACTGTTTAGGCTATAGTTCTCTAGTCTAGGAATATGCTGAAGGCTATTAACCAACAAGTACTCACATTTTAAGTTTATTTATTTATTTACCTTACTAGGAATTGAAGTTAGGGCTTTCTACATGGTAGGAAAATACACTACCACTGAGTCACCCTCCACCAAAGCCCCTTACTGAAGAATTCCAAGCAGGAACTCTATCACAGAGTCACACCCCAGCCCCTCACTGGGAAATTCCAGGCAGGAGCTCTACAGCTAAGCTATAGTAGCATCATCCCTAGTCATACCAAAAGTGTGCTTACAGAGTGTGTGAACTGTGTCTCAATAAAGCTGTTATGTTTAAAGGAAAGCTAGGGTCACAGTATAGTTATTGCCTGGCAACTAGACTTTCTGAAACATGAGTCCTGGGGTCTGCAGGCCTGAGAGCGCGTAGATTCCATGGGAAATGGAGAGAGAAGCAGAATCAGCAGAAGATGGGACAGGAACAGAGTGTAGCAGTTGTGTTGAACAGGGGAGAACGCTTCGTTATACTAACTCACCCTCCTCTTTCATAGCTTCATAAGCCAAGGACGTTGACCTTCACGTCTTATCTCTTTCCTACAGATTCACTACAAAACGAGGTCAGAAAGTCTGTGTCCAACCACAGGCCAAGTGGGTGCAGAGATACATTTCTCTGTTGAATGCTCAGAAGCACCTGTGACTCTACTGGACTTTTAGCCGAAAGACTCTTGGCTCCTTTGCCCTCACAGAACCTGATGGATTCATTTATAGTGTTCGTGGTCCTGGTGGAAGGAGGACATGGTTTTTATTGAAGGTTTTTAAAATAAAGATTTGATTTTACTAGGACTGGCAAGGTAGCTCAGTGAGTAAAGACACTTACCACCAAGACTGACGACCTGAGTTCAATCCCTGGGACCCATGTGATGGAAAAAGGGAACCAACTGTTGAAAGTTGCCCTCTGACCTCTGTGTGTGCATCATGGTACATGCATAGGTACAGAGGGAGAGTGGGAGAGAGGGAGAGAGAGAGAGAGAGAGAGAGAGAGAGAGAGAGAGAGAGAGAAAGAGAGAGAATAAATAAATATAATTTTAGAAAGATTTGACTGTCAAGGAATAGTAGCATACACCTTTAATACTGGCACCCAGAAGACAGAGACAGGCAGATCTCTTTGAATTTGAGATCAATCTGGTTTATATAATGAGTTCCAGGCCTTCCAGGACTACAAAATAAGACCCTGTCTCAAGTTGTTGATGATGATGATTTAGAGAATGAACTAGGAAGATAAATTTTTCTCCTCCAGATGTGCATACACGGGCACAAATACCTGCACACATAGATGCATACAACACACATAGGGTCTCTCAATCAAACGTAGAGCTTACAGATAGGGCTTGCTCTTGGTATACCCTGTATTCACTTTCTATGCCTGGAATCCTAGGCAGGCCACCGTGCCCACCTGGAATTACGTGAATGCAACAACGAAAACAGTAATAAAAATGAACCAGCAGAAAACAAAATGCGAACACTTTAAAAATACTCTCAGTTCCTTGAATCACGAATATGGGACAGCTTTCCATTCATTTGTGTTTTGTTCAGTGTCCTTTACTAGCAGTGAATAATGGTCACTCTCACTGGTCTTTAAGGGAGTACTTACTGGTCAAGATCCGAGTTCTTATCTGATGTATCTGAGTTCCAGGGAAACAGGTATTGAAATAAGGATTTACATATAATATGTTCTGGATTTGATTCAGAAGAAATCAGGATTAGGAGCAAAAGGCAAGAAAGGAAAAGTAATAAGTGTGTGTGAACAAGCAAGTTATGGGAGGTGGAGGCAGAAGGACCAAGGGTTTAAGGCTATATTACCAATTCAAAGACAGTCTGGACGACACTAGACCCAGTGTCAAAAACCCAAAGTCAAATCAAACCAAAAATTATGCCTGAGTATGGGCTTTACTGGTACAGTGCTTGGCCAGCATGCAGGAAGCCTCGTTCTGTTTCCCAAATCGAATACAATGGATATGGTGACTGGTGCACCTAGGGAAATAGAGGCAGGAGGATCAAGAGTTCAAGGTCATGGGGGCTGGAGAGGTGGCTTAGCAATTATGAGTGCTTGCTCTTGTTTGGTTTAATCTTAAGAAAAGCCACTCTGCCTATGCAAATAACTCCAATTAAACCAGATTAAACCAAATTAAAATGCCCATGTTTACTAAATGTAGCACTCTCAGGTAACACGACAGCATGGTGTGGGGAGCCCACCCAAACCCTGGACACCAAGTGTTGCTAAATAGTCTGTGGGAGTGGTCCTTACCCTCCCCCGGGAGGGGTCAGCACTTGGCAGGCTGGGAGTTGGAGTCCAGACCAACACAACTCCCAGGCCAGGGACTGGAGTGACACTTCCAATCATTCATCCCAGACTCCTTGGATATAGGGGTGTTAGAGGGCTAGGGTCTCACTTTCAATCAAACCCTTTCAATCAGCCCTTGCAGAGAACCCTCTCAGTCCCCACATGGTGGCTCCCAATCATCTGTAACTCAGGTTCCAGGAGATCTGATGTCCTCTTCTGACCTCTGTCAGCACCAGGCATGCATGTGGTGAACGTGCATAGAACACACAAGCAAAACAATCATATACATAATCAAAACAAACTTAAGTGGAAAGGAGTTCAAAGTCATCCTCAGCTACCTAGAGAATCTGAGGCCATGACACCTTGAAAAACTGAATAACTGGAAAACAAACCAGAGGGCCCAGAGATGTGGCTCATCAGTTAAGAGCATGTACTGCTCTTCCAGAGGATCTGAGCTCAGATTCCAGAACCCACGAGCAGTGGACGGCAGTGAATGCAGAAATTCACAGCTGGTCAGAGTGCAGAGAATAAACACCAGTGAAATGACGGGTCACCAACGCACCCTCTGTAATGGTCTGTTCTTTCTCTTTAAGAGACAAGCCCCCCCC